CTGTAACGTGACCATTTCTTAGGGGGAAAAATAAGAATATTAATATGGTTCCATTAAAAACCTGTATAATCATTTTTGTTCCAAATATCAACCATTCACTGGGTTCCCTTTTTCAGCTTCTCAAATCCTTTTCAGAAGTAAGCCAGAAATTGGTTTTTTTTGCTTTGTCAATTTCTCTTCGGTAGAAACAATCCTTTAGCTGAACTCTCATAATGAAAGTGTTTAATTACAGCAGGTTTGGATTTTTGCTCTCCCTCTCTCTGAAATGCGCACATACAAGGTTAAAATGAAAGAAAGCCTCTAACACCTCCTGCTGTCATTATTTCTTCCACAAAACGTAATCCTTGTTTCACAAGATGCGCATTTCAAGGATGCCAAGATTTTCTCCTCTAGTCTGCCTACACTGATGCCAATTTAAACTAGTCCTTCATTGAGAGCTGGTGATGTTCCTTTTGCATTTTTGTCAAGTCTTGAAAATTTTCAGTAAAATAGGCTTTAAAAGTATCTCAAGAGGGAACCAGCAGTTAGCATAATGGCTATGTCGCTGGACTCCCACGTAGTTGACCGCGGTTCGCATCCCGGACCTGGTGGCTTAAAACTCTAAAACTCACGCCGGGCGCGTGTGTGTGTGTGTGTGTGTGTGTGTGTGTGCGTGCGCGCCCAAGATCCCTAGAGGAGAATGGAGGAGAAGGGATTGGGCGTGACCATCCCCCCTGGGGGGCGATTTCTCACTTTCTGTCTCTCGGTCTCTCTCTGTCTGGCAAGCGCACGTGCCTTATAGCGAAAAAACCTCTACAAAAAAAGAAAGAAAGAAAAGTATCTCAAGATACTTTTAATGCAACCTTATTCATTTAATGCAACCTTAAGTTTCTGAATAGCACCAATTATTAAGTATAATTGCAAAACGTATTACTTTGAATCTCCCCTACCAAGGGGTGGCAGTAATAGGTTTCACAAATCATTTTTCTCAGATCACCCTGAAATATAATGATATTTAGTTCCAAAAAGAGTTTATATGGCATGAGTTTTTAGGATTTTTTTTAAGTTTGTTTTTTTTCTTCATAGGGAGAGACTGGCACCTCCAACAGGGTCTTCATGCCACGATCTGCCCCCAGACCCAGGCCTATGCCCAGCGTGTTCAGGGAGCTCACAGGCCATGAACCCTGGCCCTTTCCCATGTGAATCCAGTGTGTTACCACTGGACGATCACCTGGACCCTGGGAGGCTATTTTAAGTCACTTTTATTTTAAGTCTAGTGCCAACATTTGATCAACCGAGTATTTGCTAAATATCTTCTGTAATGAGCTATAGGATTTGACGGACCTTCTGAAAACATTTATAGGTTATCTTGAGATAGAAAACTAACATCAGATATCTGGACCCGTAGCCTTGTGGTTAAAAGAGCCAGATTCCACATGGCTAACTGCAGTTCAAATCCAAGTCTCAGAACTTGAGTAACACACTGGGCATGTGTGTGTATGTGATCAAAATCCCGAGAGGATGGAGAAATAGAGGAAAAGGGATTGCAGTGTGACTGTGTCCCATTGGGGGTGCTTTCTCGCTATCTCTTTCTCTTTTCCTCTCTGCCAACAAGCCTTCTGACTGACAAAAAAAAAAAAAAAAAAAAAAAAAAAAAAAACGTCCCTTTCCAGGACTACTCTTTCTGATAATGAATTGATGGGAATTCATAGAGAATGTGAGATGAAGCATCTAGAGTTACCTGGAAGGTGTAGGATTCAAAGTATTTCTTTTCTTTTTTTTCTTTTCTAAGGTTTTTGCCATAGAGCACATGCACTCACCAAAGAGAGACAGAGACAGAGACAGGGAAAGTGAGAAATCACCCTCCCAGAGGGGGTGACCACACCTCAGTCCCTTCTCTCCCATTCTCCTCTTGGGATTTTGGGCAAGCACACTCACATGTCCAGAGTGATATTTTTAAGCCTCCAGTTCCAGGACTTGATCTGTGGTCATCCATGTGGGAGGCCAGATCCTTAACCACCATGACACTTGCTGGCTCCAACTCAAGGCGTTTCAGTCATTATTCATTGATCAGAAATGCATTGAGCAGACTTTTTTTTTTTATCCCATTTAAAAAAAATTATTTTCATTTCATTTTTTCCATACATTTATTCACATTATTATTTGTCTTACAAAATGGATATTTTTGAGCAAACCTTATACGCTAGGTGCTAGGTAATGCTCACAGTCTGATGAGAGGTCCAAACCACAGTACCTCAGCGCTAGCATCTTCATGGGTGAATTACAGAGAGTTAGGGAAACACCTGGATTTGGAGGCGCATTGAAGGTTTATTTGAAGACTAATGAAACTGAAACTTGAATAGAAAGAAATCCCATGTAGACATTGATTGCCATTTACCTGTTTGAAATCATATTTCTTTTTTTTTTTTCCTTTCTCAGAAAAATGCCATCCACTTTTTGGATAACAGTCTCCTAAAATATAAATAAGCTCTTCTTAAAAACTAAAATGATTATATTGGATGGTGGGAAATATCATAATGTATTTTTCTATGTTTTGCTATGTAAAACTGCATCATGGCTTTCCCCATGACCCAGTACTGTAGAATTTTAGGGGAGGATGAGATCTCAGAGGGGTCCAACCTGCTTTGCCACCAATTCCTTCCCAACTGTAGAGCGAGGACAAGCTCTCCAAAGCGTGCCAGTGAGTCAGGAAGCAGGCCTCACTCAGGCCCTCACTAGTTCAGAAAGTAAATGTTCAGGGAAGATGACACCTCTCTGCCCTGGACTTTTTTGTTTTGAAGAAAGGGTGTATCATGCCCCGAATCCATGCATAGTACTTTTGTCAGGCCTCAAGCCTGTCGCATGTTTGTATATCCTTTAACATAGACCAAGTATGGAAAATGAAAAAAAAAAAAAAAAAAAAACCCAGATTGTGGCAAGCTGTTAAAAATTAGCACTGAAATTCTGGCTGGCACCTCTTCACCCTGACCTAATTAATCTGTCTGCTGAAGGACAGGAAAATGACGGTTTTAAATGGCTCCTGTTTGCATGGGAAGCTGAGACGAGCTTCTGCAGGTACCGTATGTCTCAGGTGGACGTGTCTCATTACATCCTGCTGACTGCTGTCATTTTGCACCTTTGTGGAATTATTACCTTCTCCTCGGCTGTGTAGCCTTTCACAAGCCGTAGTATCGTAATTCCCCAAGTGGAAGAGTCGATTCTTCCCCTGCATACATCATTTCAGTCATTTACTTCCAGGACTTGGTCATCTACAGTATATCGACTCCATTGTCGTCTTTGTGGGAGCATTGTTAATCTTAACTCTATAGTGGGGAAAAAAAAAAAAATCCCCCCAATTAAAACTGAGCTGGAATACTCAAAGGCACTTCTAAGATGGCATGGTCCTTCCCAGCCCTGAAGCAACTTTGTTTTTGTTTTTGTTTTTTTAAGTAACTTTATTGGGACTAGCAGCTGGTGTAATGGTTACATTGCTGACTCCCACATGGCGGACCATGGTTCAAGTCCTGGACCCAGAGGCTTGAAACGCATGCCAGGTGCATGTATGTGCATGCCCAAGATCCCAGGAGGATAGTGGAGGAGAAGGGATTGCAGCGTGGTCATCCACCCCCAGGGGGGAGGCAGTGTTTTCTCACTTTCTGTCTCTCTGTCTCTCTGGTGAGCACATGCACCCTGTAGCAAAAATTTCTCTTAAAAAAAAAAAAATAACTTGATCATTGGAAATGGGGCACTTTTTTAAAAAAGAAAATCTGATGTAGCTCATTGAAAAGCAAGTAAAGTAGAACTTGCCTATGTCCAAGGTCTTGAAAGGTGATTCTCGTCACCACTGGGTGAATGTGCTCCCTGGCTTGGAGTTGTATTCTACAGATCTGAAACAGTACAGTATGGGGGGGGGGGGGGGGAAATTAAGATTAGACATGTAGAGGACAGCAGATGTCATATTGGTTAAGGCGCTGGACTCCCACATGGCCCACTGCGGTTTGAGTCCTGGACCTGGCCACTTTCCATCCCTCTCCCCCTCCCTCTCTCTCTGGGGAGGGCACATGCCGTACAACAAATTAAAATAATAAATAATATTGAATAATTCTTTTAAAAAAGAAAAAGATTACATATGTAGGTATAGGGCCTTGAAGAGTCCTACAGCTTAGGCCTCATTAGCTTCATGGCAAACCTTCCTCTGGTGGTGGTGGTGGTGGTGTGAACAATAGTATATTGAGTACTTTTTTTTTTCTTTTTTGAGAGGTTTTTGCTATAGGGCAGAAAGACAAAGAGAGACAGAAAGCGAGAAATCACCCACCGTGGGGGATGGCCACACCGCAGTTCCTTCTCCTCCGTTCTCCTCTCGGGATCTTAGGCATACACACACACTCCCAGTGTGAGTTTAAGCCACTGGGTCCGGGACTCGAACCATGGTCGACTACATGGGAGTCCAGTGACATAGCCATTACGCTAACTGCTGGTCCCCAGTGTCTTGAGTACTTACTATGCCTGGTATGTAAGTGGTTTTCATATGTTAACCCTCACCACAACCCGAGGCACTGATCCAGAGGTATAGAGAAGTCGCGCCCACAGTCACACAGCTGGGACAGGGAGCTGCTGGGAGAGGGAAGAAGGGCAGAATAGAACAGAGCACTAAACGGAGAGCAGAGACCTCCATCGACCCCCGCTTTGCCACCGCCACAGGGGACCCTAGAGAAGAAACACATCACCTCACCCTCACTGTGCAGTGGGGAACTGCCTGCACCCTTTCACATACGTCCTCAATTTCGCCTGGAAAAAAGGAGTATCGATGCCCGCTGTGAGCCCTTCACTTTGTCGTTCTGAGGTCAACAGAAAGCGTGTGGGATCGCTTTGTGAGAGTAAAGTGCTTGGACATGTAGTGAGGAGCCACAGCTTTCTCTCCCACCTTCGTGTCATAGGTGCGGCTCAGAAATATTATTTCCCTTTGTGGCCTTTTTATTTTGCATCTAAGTTACTTCTCGGACATGCTTTTTCTTTTCCAGGTTACTTGTCTGCAAGACTTTTTTGGAGATGATGATGTTTTTATTGCATGTGGACCTGAAAAATTCCGTTACGCCCAAGATGACTTCGTCCTGGATCACAGCGGTGAGGCACTTGGCTGTTCCGTATCCCCTGAAGTGGTTTGGGATTAGTCACTCGGTGCTAAGTGGTCTAGTACAGATGGCATTGGGGGTACTCTTTGTGAACTGATGAAAGTGCCGAGTCAAATGAAAGCATTCATCTAGTTTTTTAAAAAAGAAGAAAGAAGGGACCAGCAGTTGGCATAATGGCTATGTTGCTGGACTCCCGTGTAGCTGACCACAGTTCAAATCCCAGACCCAGTGGCTTAAACTCATACCAGGGATGTGTGACTGCATGTGCATGCCCAAGATCCTGAGAGGAGAATGGAGCAGAAGGGATTGCGGCGTGACCATCCCCCCGGGGCGTGATTGCTCCCTTTCTGTCTCTCTGTCTCTGTCTTTCTGGCGAGCCCACGCGCCCTATAGCAAAAACCTCTCCAAAAAAAAAGGGTAAACTGCTAACTGCAGAAGCAGTTTACAGAAGGGAAACAAGCAGGTTAACCATTCTTACTGGGGTGTTCCCCCCCTACCTAAACACAGTGGAATCTTAATGACCTCTATAGCTCAGGGCAAATGGGTCTGGCCACTATTGGTCATATCTCCAGGGAGCACCTTAAGGTAGGGAGTTTTGGGTTATTTAGCAAAGACAGTAGGAATGTTAACCACTCTGTTTACTCAAGGCAAAAGGAGACAGCAAGTTCCCAGTACAGAGAGGAGTTCAAAATGGAGGTGCTCCTGCCTCACACGAATTCGTGTGTCTGGAAGGGTGTTTGCTATTTGTGTTGTTGTTAATATTATTATACCGTCACCATTGCACGGTAAGATTTTACAAAGACAGCAAGTCTCAGACCTACTTCTACCATCATCACGCTTATGAAGACGCGTAGTTCTTCTTTAGTCTTTTTTCATCAGTTATTTAACGTGCGTTATGATCTTGATGAAGTCCACCTCTGTGCTTTTAGGCTTCCGGCAACACCTTGCAGGGCAGAGCCATTCAAAGTCCATAGAATTCAGCTCACCTGGTTTTAGCCCAGTAAAAGTCCTCTATGGAAAGTGGGAAGCAGGGCTGCTCCTTCCTGAACCTGGGATGTCCTGAAGTTCTAGGTGGGGAGCGCCCCCTCTCTACATAGCCTGCTCATAAAGAGGGGGCAGTGCCTTTGAGATGCCCCCACCTCCTCCACACACCACACCTTTCCACCACGGAATACCTCCTCCCGTCCCTAATGCTAATGAAGGAGCAGAAGTCGCTGTGGCTCCCTTTGTGTAAGGTTTTGATTAGAGCCTTTCAGATGCTAACGAGCCTCCTCAGTGTGTGTTTTCCTGATTAGTGTACTTCACATGTTAATTTACAGCCCCTGAGGTATAGATTTAAACTAGCAAACCCAGATTTTAATCTTCCTCCAGAAATTGGAATATTTTAAAGAGTATTACAGATAATATGTTATCTATTGTAACCCTTATGACTGATTTATTCTTAGGACAGGCTTTATTCTTCTCCCAGTTTCACAGGGAAACAAAAACCAAGTCTTGGAGCCTGACTGAGGTCCTCCAGTTAGCAAATGTCAAATCTAATATGATTCATTCAAAATCTGCATGACTCCAAAACCCATGTTCTTAATTATTCAAATGAGAAGCAACCACTTTATCTGTTCTGGCACTCAGTTCTCTACACCCTGTTTTATATGGTGATTTATGGAAAACCCCAAGTTTTTTATTAGAAGCTAGTTTCCCACTTCTGATGCCCATACTTAGGGAAGATGGAAATGAGACAGCGAGAGCTTCATAAGTTAGAGTCCCGTGTCCTTCCATGGTAAGACGATGGGGGTTTGAGGAGGATAATAATCAAATTTAGTCTTTGCTCCTCAATGCTACCGATTGTAAAAAGCAAGTTAAAAATGTATAGATTAGGCTGTGAATACTTACGTGTTTCAGTTAGGACGCTGGATTTTCTGTATTAAGAACTCCACCTGAACAGAGAGACAGCATCGTGAGATGTATAGCTTAACTGGAGATAACCTTAGGTGTCGTTAAGGATGGCTGCTTTGTACATTAAATTGTTAAATATAATAGTGACCAGGTCATGACTCTAGGCAGCAGGCTATAATCACATGTGATCGATCTGTCTTTGGTCAGTATTAAAATGGTCAGATTTAGTCCAGCCCAAGGCCTGGTGGTTAAGGCAGCTGGATCTCATATGACAAACACGAGGTTCAAATCTTGGACTTGGTGGCTTACAATACATGCCAGGCACATGTGTGTATGCATGCCCAAAATCTGGAAAGAAGGGAGACATGAGGAAGGGATTGTAGTGTGACATAGTTGACCATGGTTTGAGCCGGAGGCTTAAATATAACACCGGGCCTGTGTGCATGTGTTCCCAGAATCCTGAGGGGGAGAAACGGGAGAGAAGGGATTGTGGTGTGGCCATTCCTCCCTGCGGGGGTAGTGGTGATTTCTTACTTTTTGCCTCTCTGTATCTCTCTGTCTCTCCGGTAAGCACATGCACCTTATTGCTAAAATCTCTCTCCAAAAGAGAAAAGAAAAACCCAGATTTATTTAATGCACTTTGGTCTCTTTGCAGAATGCCGTGTCCTGAAGTCATCTTATTCTCGATCCCCAGCTGTTAAGTACTCAGGATCCAAGAGCCCTGGGCCCTCCCGACGCAGCAAATCACCAGCTTCAGGTAGTGAACGGGAAAGGGATAGATGGTCGTTGAGCGTCATTTCTTTCTATATATTATCCTTCAATTATTACACACTACTAGTCTTTGCAGGGCTCACGTGCAGTCCAGTTCCAGAACCACACGTCGCTTGTATCACAGTTTTTAAAACCAAAAAGTGAAGCCCGTTTTGCTAAGTTCTAATTCCCCTAACAGACCTGCGTATGTTTTGTTCTTACACATTTTCTTGCCAACAGCTTCTTGACCACTGTCTGCTGCATTTTAAGTTGTAGACGATCTGATTGTGGGTATATCTTACCCTGACCTCTTATTGTTTTAAAATACGTACCCATACCACACAAAGATGTAATTTCTGGGTAAATTTCCAGTGACTTTTTCCCCATCCAGCAATATAATAGCAACACTCATTGCTGCAAAGTAGTACTTGATTTCTTCTGGCATTTGAATGACCTATCATTAAGTTTCTTTCTGGTCCTACGTAGTATGGATTTGTATCATTTTCCCTGTGTTGACGTTTTTTTCTAATTAAAAAAAATCTGTAAGTACCTCAATCTGTTGATTTGATGGGTCTGTTTTTGTTGATAGTAATTAATAATTCTGTTGCTACCACTTCCCAATAAGGAAAGAATTGTGAAAAATCGTGATTTTTTTCAGATGGGAACTCTAGAACATGTAAAAGTAGAGGTCATAAACCCTCTTCGGCACCGACCTCTACCACAGACCCAGTTTTTGGGCCTTCCACATTTCGCCGCTCCCGTGTCACCTACCCCACTTCCTTGCGGGCGGGTTGTTTAGCCTTCTTTTCGCACACCCACTTAGACCTGCTGAGTAATACTCTCCTTACTGTCTCCTCCTCTTCGCATATACTGCATGTGTACAGTAAAGAGGGGTGGCCACTACTCCAGTGCCTATTCTACAGCCAAATCCCCAGGTGAGCCATGGGTGCGATGGCTTTGTCGCTCTGCTGGGTTTTCGTTTCTGTGTTTTGCCACGTTTCCGTTTCCTTCTGCTCCATTTCCATCAATGTATCTGGCTGATTCCAGTGGGTATCTGTGTGGTGAGAAGCCATACACAGATGCTTCAGCCTCCTGTATTAGAAGATTGATTATCCTCAGGAGCGGACTGGGGCCTGTCTGTGTGTAGCTGAAACACAGAGTGATCATCCCCCTAGGGGAGATCTGTCTACCAATTGACTTTGGAAGATTTTCTGGTACTGACAAAGGCTACATAAGTGTTGGTAGAGTGAAAATGACCTAGAAGCAAACATACTCTTCTACCCACACTCCCCGCCTCATCCCGGGGCCGAGTGTTCGGGAATTGTTAAAATCTGAAAAGTCGAGGTGAAGAGCTTTAAACTAGCACATACTGTTGTACCACGAGGAGCTTCTTGTGCAGACAAGGAGGTGGCACTACTGTCTTTCTCATTGTCAAACAATTATTTTCATAAGCGTACAGGCTCTGTTTTAATGCACTCTCCAAATAAACGGCTGTTCTATTGGGTCGTTGGAAGTCTTGATGCAAAAATGCGTCATGACTTTCCTGATGACCCAATAGATAAAAATAGAACAGTTGACAACATACGCATTTTTGACCAAAATTATCTGTCTGCCATTAATCTTATACTGTATTATGCTCTCTGTAAAGTCTCTCAAGCCTGAGCAAGCTAATATAACATGAAATTTACATAAACACACTGACCTGGGTTTACCATATGGTAGTTGGAGATTTCTGTTAGGTTCCTACATTTTGTTGTAGGTAATAGGTTTGCAGATGCTTATCATATCTGTAAAATGATTAAAGAAAAGTAGGGAGAGTGGTTCAAGAATTGGGTATGATGATTAATTCAATTTTGTTCTCCAAAGAGCTAAAGAAAAAACATAAGCCTACTGAACTAAAGACATATTTCATAACCACTTTTCTCCTGAAGAGCAGCTGCTCCGTAACATAGCCTAATAAATATATAAATAACTCTTTTTAACTTGAATTTGGAATGCTTAGAAATTGGGTAAGGAAAATCTTCCTTTTCTAGTACATGAAGTTTTCAACCAAGTCCTTATTTAGATTGGAGTTAGTAGAGTGGGCCTCAAACTCATAAGTAAAAGGTGTGCGATTTAAAACTTACATTGCAGAGGGTGACTGGTCTTTTTATAAGAAACTAACTCCATGTGTAATCCAGCACTTACTACAGTTGTAGAAAACAGAAAGGCTGAGTCACCTTCTAAGACTCATCTGCATAGCATTTTCCTGCACTCGCTACCACCAGGAAAGAGTTCTGTATTTCTAAATGCCTAGTACCCAGGAGTGGCCAGCAGTGACATGATGGTTAGGGCGCTGGATCCCATGTGGCTGACTGCATGGTTCAAGTGCCAGACCCAGTAACTTGAAAAATAGGCCGAGGGTCTGTGTGTGCATGCCCAAAATCTCAAGAGGAATAATGGAGTAGGAAGGATTGAGGTGTGACCATCCCTTAGGGGGGGATGCTTTCTCACTTCCTCTTTGTCTCTGTTTCTCCCTGGTGTGTGCACATGCTCTCTAGCACAGATAAATTTAAACAAACAAACAAAAAATATATGTAGTACCTGAGAGTATACTTATATTTTTCCCCCATTAATTTATTTCATGACAGACAGGCACCCCCAACAGGGGCTGTTCATGCCCATCCTCTGTCGGCCAGATGCTCAGTGATCTGGTCTGCTCAGGGAGGTCCTAGGACACGAACCCAGTACCTTTTCCACACGGGTTCAGTTGCATGGCTGATGTGCATAGCCTGGCTGTGTTACTTGTATAGATTGCTGTAGTTGCCACAGACCTTTTTCAGAGCTCTCAACTTTGCGCCATCATCTTACACGATTTTAGTCTTGGCCAGAAGAGCCGCTTTCCGTGAAGTCTTCTGGTTGACTAAGTTCTTTGACAGAACTCTGGGAAATAGCTCATTCCTACGTAAGAAACACATAGATATTAATCTACGTAGCACACATGGGAAAATCATTCCCGTAAGTTGAATCTTAAAAATCCTTCTTGAAGGTTTTTAGCTTGTGAATCTTTCATAGCCCACCAAGATAAAAAGTATTCAGAGTGAACAGAAATAAACAAAAAGGCCCCCAGTTTATCTTTTACCTTACCGTTAAGGACAGGAAGTGAATTGTGGGGGGGGGAAACCAGGGTATAGTGGAGGAGTAGGAGCTGCAGGGTCTGCTCACCCTCCGGGTGGCAATGCAGGCAGGAGGCAGAGGACCCAGCATGTTTATTATAAACACCAGCTGATTACCCTCTTTGAAGAGATTTTATACTTTTTTAAACATTTTTAAAATTTATTGTAAGTTGGCGATAGGGCATGTGCACTGGCTGGAGGGAGACAGAAAGAGAGAGAGAGAGAAAGAGAGAGAGGTGTATGGTAAGAAATCACCCCCCAGAGGGGATGGCCATGCCACAATCCCTTTTCCTCCATGCTCCTCTCGGAATTTAGGTTATGCACACAGAGGTGCCTGGCGTGTATTTTAAGCCCCTGGGTCTGGAACTTGAACTGTGCAGTCAGCCTTGTGGGATCCAGGGACCACTTGCTGGCCATAGGGATTTTTCTTTTTTTTAACAGACTGATTTTTTTTTTTTTTTTTGAGAGGATTTTTCGCTATATATAGGGTGCATGTGCTCGCCAGACAGACAGACAGACAGAGAGAGACATAGAGACAGAAAGCGAGAAATCACCCCCCAGGGGGGATGGTCACGCCGCAATCCCTTCTCCATTCTCCTCTCGGGATCTTGGGCACGCACGCACACATGCCCGGCATGAGTTTTAAGCCACCGGGTCCAGGACGCGAACCACGGTTGACTACATGGGAGTCCAGCGACATAGCCATTATGCTAACTGCTCGTTCCCAACAGACTGATTTTTAAGAGCAGTTTTGGGTTCATAGCCAAATTGAGCAAAAGGTACAGATTTTCTGTATGCATTCTGCCCCCAGACATGCAAAGCCTCCCCCATGGCGAGCGCCCCCACCCCCAGCGTGGTCAGTTAGCTATAGCTGAGGGACCTGCAGTGACCATCAGTGTCCCCCAGGGTTTGCTCATTTACACTGGGGTAACTCTTGGTGCCGTGTGTTCTACGGGCTTGGACAGAGTCATAATGACATGTGTCTGCCATTATTGCCTCATATCAAGTACTTTCGCTGCCCTGAAAATACTTGTGAAGAAAAGGATCAATGTTCGACTTGTAAAGAAAAACTAGGGGCTAGCTCCATGGCCTAGTGGTTAAGGGAGCTGGAACCCAGGTGGCTGACCATGTGGTTCTGGTCCCAGCCCCGGCAGCTTGAGAAATAAGCAGAGTACATATGTGTGCACATGCCCAAGATCCCAACAGGATGGAGAAATGCAAGAGAAGGGACTGCAGTGTGATCACACCCCATGGAAGGGGTGCATGCTCACTTTCTCTCTCTCTGTCTCTCTAATAAACACAAATACTTTCTGACAAGTGAAAAGAAGAAAGGAAAGATTTTGAAAGAAACAACATTCATTGACATTTAATCGAGCAATAACCAGAGGTGTTGAATATGCTCTCTCTCTCTCTTTTTCCCCTAAAGGCAAATTCTCACTACGTTATGGTCCTTCAGCCTCCCAAGTAGCTGAGACCACAGTGTATACACTGCTGCTTCCAGCTTCTTAGGTTGGGCAGGGAATCATACCTGGGCCACCCCTGTGGCTTCAGTTTGCCGAGTAGCAGTGTCAACCAGTGTGTATTCTATAGTGACTGGGACTGAATGCCCTTACGTTTCTAAGAAATTGCACAGTTACTTGTACTTGTATCTTTAGTAACCACAAACATTTGTTACGAAAATCTGATAACTGACCATTATTTTTGAATGAATGATTTTCTATGAGAAAAATTAAAGTTTGGGAGTTTTTCAATAACTGAAAAAAATTCATCTTTACTGACTTTTTAAGATGAGCAATACAATACTCAAGCATGACTTCATAAATACAGATATCCCTTTTCTCAAAAAGTCATCTATTAATAAATAGTTGTTGGCCCACAATTTCTGTCTCCATGCAAGGACTAGTGTTCACTTTTTAAAAGTTTTGGTTTTTAATTGCTACAGGGCATATACATTTGTAGAGAGACTGAGAAAGAGAGAAAGTATTTTACAGTGGGGAAGTCATGCCATAATCCCTTTTCCTCCATCCCATTAGAATTTGGGCATACACATGCCCGGCATGTTTTTCAAGCCACTGGGGCCAAGATTCAAGTCATGGTCTGCTACGTGGGATCAGCCTTCTGATGCAGTGTGCTATAGGGTCATCCCTCATGCTCACTTTTTTGAGCTACCTATTCAGGACTTTTTCCTCTGTGTTTGCCTTTTTATACTCATTAGCATTATTTAAAATAATAATTTCAGGGCCAGCAAGTGGCATGGAGATTAAAGTGGCTGGATCCCACATGGCCAACTTTGCCATTTGAGTCCTAGACTCAGTGGCTTAAAAATCCTGGATGTGTATGTGTACTTGTGTGGATGCCCCAAATCCCAAGAGAATAGAGGAGAAGGGATTGTGGTCTGGCCATCCCCCCGGGAGGGGGGTGATCTCTCACTCCCCTCCTCTGTCTCACTCCAGCAAGTATACACATCCTATAGCAAAACTGCATATTGATATATGTATATGCAGTTCTCTGCTTCCTCATGTTTAAAAAAAAAAAAAGTGGGTAGACATATTTATTTCTTTTTCCATAAGGATGAATGGGAGTTCCCATCTACTTTGGGTAAAAGCTTTGAAGACTAATGATATAAGAAATTACAAATATTTTCTAGAGGAGAAAATGTATTGGGTTATCAGAAAAGTCATGACACATTTTTGCATAGAAAACTGTAGACAAAAAAGTCCTGACTTTTCTGATGACCCAATATATACCAACACTAGAAATTGCCTAGCAGCTTTGAGAAATTCCTGCAGAAACGGGTCTATTGGGTTGTCAGAAAAATCATGATATTTTATTCTATGTGAATATTGTGTCTTGAGTTTTCCACAACCCAGTAGGTGTTGTAGTTAGGAAAAAGCACTGTCGTACTAAAATGTCTGCCCAGCATTCTGTAGTGTGTGTTAATGTTCCCCTCTTGATAATAGAGGCTGAACTCTTAGCATAGGATCTAAATCAAGCTTTCAACCAAAGACACGTATGGAATTAGGAGAAGATGTATAGCCAACTACCAGGACTTGCTCAATAATGAGGAAATTAAACTGTGAAAAAAACAACATGGAAGGAGTTTGAGATAACTAGTCTGGGTATAAAAGAAAGCTGAAGAACATCGTTTTTGGCCTTCCGACAAATAAGTAAGAATGACAAGGAAAACAACTGGTTGTTTTCCCTTTCCATTAAGGATATCCTGTATTTGGATACTGTGTTTGGATTATGGTGGAATTGACCTGGGAGAGCCATAAGAACTCCCTGGTTATTCGGGCTGGTACTCCCCAAGGTAGTGGCTATCTGAGCTTATGCAGCAGTCTTCCCAGGAAACCACCACAAATACTCCTTTTTCTACCTTTGCTGGCAGGCAGGTATATGGATAAGTTCTTGGTCACATTTCTAATTCCATAATGTCTTTTATATTTGTTTATACCACCATTGAAAACCCGTTATTGAAAATAATTCAAGTTTCACTCCTTGTCTGATGTTTTGTCTGTAATGCAGTAGTACAACACATTCTTTTTGCTTTTTGCTGATTGGCCATTTGCTTTGGGCTTTAAATGAATCGGAGCTTCGTGGGAGCTGTGTTGTGCATGCACCTGCTGCTTTCACGCACAGTGGTGGTGTTGAGTTTTGTTGACCTCTGTTTCCTTTGTTGTCTCACGGTCAGTTAATGGAACTCCCAGCAGCCAACTCTCCACTCCTAAATCTACGAAATCGTCCAGTTCCTCTCCAACCAGCCCTGGAAGTTTCAGAGGACTAAAGGTATGGAATAGGATATGTAGCATGGTTTGCAGTCCTGTCATTTTGAATTGCATGGTTTAGCAGCTTAATTTGTGTAAGGGTTTAGGTGCAGTAACAAATTAAAAAGGAAGGAGTTTGGGGGCCAGCAGGTGGTATGGTGGTTAAGGCACTGAGCTCCCACATGGCCAACTGAAAGTCAGATTGAGGACATGCACATGTATGCCCAAAATCTCAGGAGGAGAATGGAGGAAAAGGGATTGCGGGGTGGCCATCCCCTCTGAGGGGTGATTCTCACTTTCCCTCTCACTGTCTCTCTTCTCTGGTGAGCACATGCCCTATGGTAAAAAACATTAACAAAAAAAATAAAAGGAAAAGAAAAGAGTTTAAGATTTGGAGCCAGGTAGGTCTGACTTTGAATCCTGTGTCACAATTTTGATAACTCACTTAACTTTTCTCAATTCTTATTTTTGAGTGTTCTTAGCTTGAAAATGGGACTACAAGGTAGTGGTTAGGATTGAACATAATGTGGTAAAGTACAACGAATAGTAATTTCCTCACTATTTTCAAAATGATTAACAATGACTCAGCCTTGGGAACATCATATTCCTTTAAAAGATCTTCTGGAGGCCAGTAGGTGGTTAAGTTGCTGGACTCCCACATGGCTGACCATAGTTCAAGTCCCAGATCAGATGGCTTTCTTTTTCACTCTCTCTCTGGTGAGCTCACAAGTCCTATAGCAAATTTTAAAAATAATCATAATCAATAATATTAAACAATTCTTTTTAAAAAAGAGCTTCTGAATCATGATCCTAATTAACATAATGTGTCTTTGTTAAAGTATAAAATAGAGTGAAATATTAGAATGACTTTTCTTGAGAGAGAGAGAGAGAAAGAGAGAGAAATTTTTGCTATAGGGTGCATGCACTTGCCAGAGAAACAGAGAGAGAGAGAGAAAGAGAGACAGAAAACCACACCACAATCCTTCCTCTTCTATTTTCCTCTTGGGATCTTGGGCATGCATGCACATGAGCCTGACATGAGTTTTAACTTGCTGGGTCCAGGACATGAACCACCATCAACTATGTGGGAGTCTAGTGACATAACCATTATACCATCTGCTGATCCCTAGATTGACATTTATACCCACAATTGAGAACACAAGAAAAATATGTTCATTTCCGGTGAGTAACTTAGAAGTACATCTAGAGTGTGAAGTGCCAAAACTTGAAATAGTGTGAACATGGTTACCAGTCGGTTTAATAGGCAGTTAGCTAAAAGAAGGAGGAGAATGATAAGCAAAACAAAATTTGTAAGATTTTCCTATATTTTATTTGATTCAGTGGCTCCCAAATAATTTAAATTTGTAAGAGAAAATTTGGAGGCTAGCAGATAACCTAATGGTTCAAGCACTAGACCACTGCACATGACTGACTGCAGTTCGAGTCCTGGACCCTGCTGCTTGAAACTCATGCCAAATGCTTGTGCATGTGTGTCCAAAATCCCAAGAGGAGAATGAAGGGGAGAAGGGATTGTGGCGTGGCTATCCTCCCTTGGGGGGGAGGGTGATTTATCTTTCTTTCCGTTTCTGTCTGTCTGGTGAGCACACATACCTTTTCGTAAAAAGTCTCTCTCTCTTTAAAAAAAGAAAATTCATGGGACTAGCAGTTAGTGTAATGTCTATGTTGCTGGATTCCCATGTAGTCGACTGCAGTTTGCGTCCCAGACCCAGTGGCTTAAAACTCACATTGGGCGCATGTGCGTGTGGGCCCAAGATCCGGAGAGGAGAATGGAGGAGAAGGGATTGTGGCGTAGCCATCCTCCCTGGGGGGTGATATTTTGCTTTCTGTCTCTCTGTCTCTTTCTCAGAACCGTGGGCCTCATGACCTCACAACAGGTCATGAGGCCCATGGTTCCCTCACTTCTTGAAGGGTTCTCCATCTGACGGTAACGTTTGCTTGCCCTAGGCTAAAATGTCAGGTGTGTCTCAGAGGGGACTTGCCTGGTGCTCTCCTGTGGGTCTGAGAACAAGAGTCCACCACCGCCCACTCCCCACCTCCTTGCCCAGGAAGGGGCACGTGGTCTGTCTTTGTGCCTGCTTGCTTATGGACCTTGGCAGAACTTGGACTGAGATGGTTTGGGGGTCGGGAGTACATAGTTCTCACCTACCTCCAGTTATTAGAAACTCTTTTCATTTATCAAAAGAGGCAAGTGTTTTTCTGAGGTATTAAATTGGTTTAGGTCAGTTCCTAGTACAATTTCAATGGAATTCTTAATTCCAGAAAAAAAAAAAGTATGTTAATTAAAAATCACTAATAAGCTAGTTATTTTTGGATTTTTTTTTTCTCCAACTTACTTTCCCCATAATAGTTTGAAAGTACATGGTTATTAATTTGGTTAACTTAATTAGTTAATATATTTATTTTTGACAGATTTTTGCTATAGGGTGTGTGTGGTAGCTGGCTGGGGACACACAAAGAGACAGACAGAAAGCAAGAAATCACCCCCCTCCAGGAGGATGGCCACACTGCAATCCCTTCTCCCCATTCTCCTCTTGGGATCTTGGGCATGCACGCATTACATGTCCAGCTTGAGTTTTAAGCCACCAGGTCCGGGACTTAAACTATGGTCAACTATGTGGGAGTCCAGGGACATAACCATTACGCCATCTGCTGGTTTCAATGTTTTTGTGTGGGAGATAGGGTCTCATTGACTGCCTGGGCTGGTTACAGACTCACAGTCCTCCTGCCTTAGTCTTTCTGGTAGCTGGAATTACAGGTACCCATCACTGTGCCCAGTCTTACTCTGAGTAACATTCAAGAAAACTAAAGTCCATGGGGAAAAAGAAAGTGAAATGCTTTCTCCTATTCTCTCACTGAACAGAATCAACACAGAAAAATTCTGTGAACAAACACATGGGATTCCCCCCCCCCCCACACACACACACACACACTAGCATGGATGCCACCTGGGTGTCCAGTTCAGTCCTGACACCTTCTATCTGAAGATAATGTCACATCCCACCTCTTCAGATACCAACCCCAAACCCCGGATTGTTTTCCCTGTGCTGCCTCTGGTTGATAGGCTGTGACTCGGGGTTTCCAGGACTCCCTCCTCGGCTTTGATTCATTGTTAGAAGGGCACACAGGAGTCAGGGTAGCACATTGGCCAGTTTATTACAAAGGATACAGATAAAGGCGTGCATAGGCAAGGTGTGTGGGAAGGATCTCATGACTTCCATGCCTTCTCTGGGTGTACCACTCTCCTGGAACCTCCATGTGCTCAGCGATCCAGAAGCTCCCTAACCCCATCCTTTGGGAGTCTTTTGGAGGCGTCATGACAGGCGTGGTCAATGAAATCCTTGGCTATCAACTCAACCCCAGCAGATCTCTCCTCCCCACAGGTTGGGGGATAGGACTGAAAGTCCCAACCCCAGAAGTCTGCCTTGGTCTGTCTATAGACCAGCCCTCACCCTCGAGCCGCCCCGGGCTACCAGCCATCAGTAAGCTCATAAGGACAGCACTTTGAGATTCCACACACTTCGGGAGTTTTGTGTCAGGAACCTGGGCCAAGGCCAAATCCATGTTTTACAATAGTACAGCAAGTAAAAATCATTCGTGTTGCTTCACATCTTTTCCAGTTTCAGTTGTTTCATCTTTTGTTAAAGTAAAAAGCAAGTGATTCTTAAAGCTGATGATGGTTAACCCAAGACAAACCCAGAATAAACTTCCCAGTGAGGCACATGCAAAGGTCATATATGTTGCTCTTCCAGGCCAGGGTTGGACACGGTTGCCAGGTGGGGCCTCTTAGTTCCTGCTTCCCTTCGGTCTTGGCCACTTTCCCGTTTTTGTTGCCCATTGTAACCTGGGCTCCCGTCTTCCCTCCTGGCCCATCTTATTCAATTCTAAACCCTAGATTGGCCTCTGCTGTTGCAGCGTCCAGGCCACTGGATGCTGGCTAGGAGCAGTTGAGATCACAGCTTCAGGACTGGACAGCAGCCATTTCAGGGAAATACATTCATATTCTGTGCACACACCCCCACTCCTTCACTCAGGTACACTCACACAGGACTGTCATGTTCATGGAGTGAAGAGACATGGAATTTTTAAAAAGAATTATTTATTTATTTAATTCCATCTGTTGTTGTTATTATTATTTTTAAATTTGACCAGAAAGAGAAAAGGAAAGTGAGAAAGCAAGTCACCAGACCTGGCACTAGAACTGTGGTCGGCACCTGCTGGCTCTGATACATGGAATTTTTAAAAAACATAACATTGCGTTGCTGCTGAAACATTAGGCAATACCGTTCCTTTTATGCTATCTAAATTATCATAGTGACCCCAGCGTTTAGTAAGTGTGCAAGGATTACTCACTGCTGCTGCAGAGTTAGGTAAGTCATCTGTTAACTAAGAGGAGTGTTGATTATGGCTCGAGACTGAGGCTGAGGGGCCAGCAGGTAGTGTGGTAGTCAGGGTTCTGGACTTCCACATGGCTGACCACAGTTCAAGCCCTGGACCTGGTGGCTTGCTTTCCTACTTTCCCTTTTTCTCTGCCTGTCTCTGATGGGTGCACATGCCCTATAGCAAATTTTAATAATAATAAAATTAAATAATTATTTAAAAGTTAAAAAAAAGACTGAAGATGAGATTATACATAAGATAGAGTAGTAGTCTTTCCGAGGACTTCCTGTCCTCTCGTCCAACAGGGCTCGAGGCTTGGGGCTTTGCAAACAGCTATGAGACCTCCTCGGGGTTTTCTTTTGCTCATCTGTAAAATAAGGATATATATTTTTTAATTTCCCCCCAAAAGCTAGGATTATAGTTTGTTCTTCTTTCTTTTTCTTTTCTTTTCTTTCTTTCTTTTTTAAAATTTGCTGAAGGGCACATGTGCCCACCACAGAGAGAGAGAGAACAAGAACAAACCCTTTCAGGGGAGATGATCATGCTGCAATCTCTTCTCTTCCATTCTTCTCTCAGGATTGTGGGCATGCATGCACACATGCCCGGCACGTCTCAGAAGCCACC